TTACCCCAGTGTCCTGGCCAAATTTCCCCCCTGGCCTTTACCCATCATGGCCTCCTAATAACCCCCCTCTCTGAACTGGCTCCATCACTCTGCTCCGCGTCTCACCGTCCCCTGTCCCCCGTGGGTGTCCTGTTTTCCAGGCCGCCCCCCCCGCGCACCCCCTGGAGGAGTCCAGCCCCGGCCCCGAGCGGCGGCGCCCCCGGGAGGCCATGGCCCCCCCCTCGGCCGGGGGGGGGGTTCCCCCCGGAGTGCCGGACGAACCCGGGGAGCTGCCTTTGCTGGGCTGCCTGCACTGAGCCACCGCCCCGCCGCAGAACACGACACGATCCACGGGCCCGTAGGAGGCGCCGGCCGGCCGGATCTTCCAGTCGGGGATGGGCGTCCGGCCCCCGAGCGGGAAGATTTCTCCGGGACCGGACTGGGACGTCTGTCCCCCCCCCCTCTCTGCCCCTGAGGAGGCAGTCGAATTTCCCTGCTGCTGCTCAAAGATGGAGGGTTGTTTTGTTTTTTTTACTGAACCGAGTTCTCGGCAGCTTTCGTCATCAGACTGCCCCCCCCCCCCCTTTTGTTTTTTCACGGGTGCGAGCTACAGCCTCCCGGATTTTAGGGGGTTTTTTGTCGGTTCGGTTTTCCTTCCTGCCGGCGTCGTCGGCGTCGTCGTCTTCCCCGGTTTTCACGGAACGGCTCGGTTCCGTTTCCCGAGAGAGAGGGTGGTGGGGGGGTGGGTTCCGGGCTCGGGGAATGGTGGGGGGGGCCCCCAAGCCTTGGGCTTCTGCGGGACTGCCCCGAACGGGACTGCTCCCGAAGGCGAAAGGGAAAGGGGGGAATCCTATCGTCGGGATCCACAGCGCTGGGGCCGCGTTCGTCGCGCGGCGTCGACCTACAGAGAACCGCGAGCCGTGTCCGAACGGCGACTTCCGAGCTCGTGTTTTCGGCCACACAAACTTGATGGAATATGTGGGGGGCGGGGCAGGGGGAGGGGCAAATGCTGACACGCCCCCGGCCCTTCCCACACATAGCCCCGCCCACCGGCCGCTTTGCTCCGCCTCTCCATCCCAGAGAACCAGCTCGACTGCACTGAAATCAAAAGAGCCGCGGGGCAGAAGTTAACAGACACACACAAAAAGTGACGTTCAAAAAGGGAATTCGAGACTCTGGAGCCAGTCCTTTCGCTTTCCGGGCCGGGTTCCGGGAATGAGGCACGAGAGAGGGCTTCGACCCGGGGAGGGACCTTCGGGGGGGGGGGATGGCGTGGAACGAGGGGCCGCCCTCAAAGCTGGTTTTCTGTCCCGGTCTCCCTTCACCTGGGGTCCGATCCGGCGAATCGGCACCTCCTTTTTCCAAATGCAACCTCGGCCCCAGCGCGGGTGCCGCCTGTGCTCTTTTCCGAAAAGCAGATGGAGGGATAGAGGTGTCCGTCTCGCGCCGATGCCTCTCCACACGCGCGCACACGCAAGCACACACGCAGGAATGCCTCGGGCACGAGAGATGTCGGATCCGAGCCGCCGCCTCGATTTTTCCCGAATCGGGAGCCGCCTTGCCGGACCGCGCGGGCGAAGGAGGGGCCCCGTCCCGCCGTCGAGCTCGAAGGGCGACTGCTTCCCACCCAGGGGACGAAACACTACAGCCCAGCCCGACCCGGTTTCGGAAAACCAGGCCGCTCCGGCCCCGATCCAGACCCCCCTCCCTGCAGTCGGGATCCAGACCCCCTGGCCGCACGGACGTGGAGACGGCGGACGATCCGCAGGTTGGGGAGGAGGGGCTACCCGAGCGTTGGCGTCCCCCGGAGCGGAGAGATTTTTTTTCCTGCCCCGCGGTTTTTGTTTTTGGCCCCGGTTTTTCCGAGCGTTTCCGGAGCCTCCGTTGGACGTGCCTTTTCAGTTCGAACCCGGAGCCCCTCCCCTCCCCTCCCGTCCCCCCGCCCGCTGCACAGACCACGAATCGGCGGCAAAGGGAAGCGCAACGCGCCGGATCCCGGGAATGGGGGAAGAAACAAAACGCAAAGCGAAGGAATCCGACATCCGGAAAAGCAATACGAGCCGCTGGGGAGGGGGAGCACGTCCGGCCAGAACCGGGGGGCTGGAGCTCAAGGTGGGGGGGTGGAAGGGAAATTCTCTCTCCGTGTTGTCTCTTGGGGTGGAAGGTTGATTAGGGGGGGGTGTCCTTTGACCCCCATCGCCGTTTCTCCTGGTTCGTGTGGCAGAGCAACCCCCAACCCCCCGGTTCCCTCCCTCGCGGCCCCATCCCTGCTCCTGGGGAACCCCCGAGAACCCCCAGTTCCTCCCCCCACCCCCCAAATCGGCCCTTCCCTTTCGAAGAGGCGATTTTTGCTCCAGAACCGGATCAGGTGGAGGCGAACTCTGGACCCCCCGACCCTACAAGGTCCCCCGATCTTCCTTGAGCCAACTGCGCCCTGATCCGTAGTGGCGGACGTTCCCGGTTTTGAAGTAGGGGATCTAGGGGTGCTGCCAGGGTAGGAGACCCCCCCAGACCCCCTCCCCCCACTCTCTAGACCTTCGAAACGTTTCGTCTCCTCGTATTGCCCCCGATCGCCAGTCTCCCCAGAATCTGCCCTCCGTTCCAACACCCCCCCTGCGCTCCCCCCAGTAGCCCTCGGGCGTGCGGTGGAGGACCGGCCCAGCACAGCCCGCCCGCAATACCCTGTGTGGCCACAGAGGGGCGCTCTCTGGCTCTCACCTTCGTCCAGCGCGGGGGCGCAGCCTGATCCCGGCGCTCCGGCCGGATCCGCTGGACAGGGAGCAGGGATGTGTCCGTTTTTCCGGCCTTTTTCCCCCCCCCCAGGCAAGGGGAGCGGTTTCTGCCCGGGCAGGAATTATGGGGCGAGCTGGCCCCCCTCCACAGCTTGAGAGGGCGGCCGCTGACGAGGTCGTCTGGTCATCTCCTCCTTCTCCTCCGACTGCTGTCTCTACGACTTCATCCTCCAGCGTTTTAGTTGGAACCTGAAAAAAATAAAAACGCAAAACTTTAAAAAAAAGAAAAGAAAGAGGTGCTCGTTTCTGGTGGTGTTTGGCAGCGACTGGGGGTGGTGGGTGGGTTGGGTTAGTGAAATACG